ACAGCCTCCCTTACCCAGGGTGTCCACCACTGAGTTTGGGGATGACCACTGCAAGATACACCGACAACCTTGGGGCCACAACATAAGGCAGCCACATCAACAATTGAGGCTCGGAACATGGCCCACTCGGAATCAAGTTTAGATTAGATTAGATTAGATTAGATTAGATTAGATTAGATTAGATTAGATTAAAACTTTTTTGTCATTGAACAGAGCACAATGGAATTACAGTTCAGAACACCCATTCAGAAAAAGACAGAACAAAACAAACATAGGAGAACAGGTGCTCTGGATCATGCTGCAACTGACCCAGCACAGAGCAAGGATCATCTTCATGAAGACATCATGAGGAGGCACAACACTTAACAGAAAAACTAAAAACCACACAAGGGAAGATGGGGGGAAAAAATCAAATCATATATCAACAATGTGACACACTATAGTGTTTATAAAAAAAACCTCTGCATAGAGCACATTTATTAGCTAGAGGACTAAGTGAGTTTAGGGGGCGTGTATCTGAAGCCATGAGTGTTGTATGCACTTGTGTGAATATCTGAAGAATGAGCCCGAAGAATCGAGTCCCCAAAACCCATGCAGCCATAGTTCAGAATATGGATGTTAAGTGTTCAATCTGTGCAGCCTTCAGCTTGCTCCAGGAATCAGATCATAGATGGGTGTGAGGGGGGCAGACCCTCAGTCAACATATACATCCAGGAAGAATTTAGTCCAAAAGATCTGTAATCAGTTGTTTTGGGTACAGAAGAGCCAGGCAGACGATAACAATTTTCCATCTGCTTTAATGTCTGCTGGTACATCTCAAGGTGGTGAATCCAATCAGACAAATAATGTGGACAAATTCTGCCGAGCCGTGCTATCAGCTCTCTCCATCACTTCCATCTGGCCAGTAAAGTCCAGGAACCACACCTTTTAGCCCACGACCCTCAGCAGAACTGCTTGCAGACTGAGTCCAGCTCGCTCAAGGCAAAAGTCTGAGTGCTGATAGTACAGCCATCCATCATATTAGTCAGGCAGCCAGGAAATGAATAACCACAGATGCTGTTTTGTAGAACACCAGGAGACCACCAAGCCAATCTGTAGAATCCAGTGATCGGAATCCAAATATATATATCCAGAACAGAGGTCCCACCTTTGACATGTCCTCCCATTGAAGGAAAAACTTTGTTCCAAAAAAATTATTGAGACCAGCTAACCAAATCCATAAAAATAAAAATATCCATAATTTCTGGTTTTGGATGAAAATCTAGAGCAGGCTCCAAGCAGCAAAGCAGGGAAGTTAAGGAAGGGCAGGAGAGAAGGAAAAAGCGACTTACTCCACCGAGAGTGGAACCAAAAAAAAAAAAAAGATCCCCCACCTTGGCTAGGATGTAGTTGAAGTTCTCCCAGAGGTGTGAGTTGAAGATCTGGCATTCCCAGTAAACCCTCACTACATGCTTGGGTCTACCGGGTCTGTCCGGCATCTTCCCCCACCATTTCATCCAACTTACTACCAGGTGATGATCAGTTGACAGTTGACTTTAAAATTTTCAGGCTAGGTTAGGGCAGGGCGATATGGCCTAAAAAAATCTATTTTTTTTCATCCCAAATTCGATTTTAATTGATTTTTATCGTTCCTTTACTTTCTTAAACACAAATTACAGAAAATATTTTTAAAAACTCTCTTTTATTTGAACCATCCCTTCTGGGAGTTGACCTTAATTCAAAGTGCAACTAAATGCAAGCTATAAATCATGCTTGTAAAACAAGATGGCAGGCCCTGCCATTGTAAACAATGAAAATATAAATAAAATATTTGCAGCTTCAAGTAAACACAATAAGCTAGTTTGAAAATTAGTGTAAACAAAATTAACAGTCCTGTTTAAAACATACATTCAAGCAAAGTCGGTAAGTACATTCTTGACGTCTTTTTTTTTCTCCCACACACGTTTTTGGCAAGGAAGATAAGCCTGTCTACTGAATCTTCATGCATGCCCTGTGGCTTAAACAGAAAATATAAATTACAGAAAATAAACTCAAAAACTTTCTCTATTTGAACCATCCTTCAGGAAGTTGATCTGAACTCAAAGTCCAACTGTGCAAATGGTCTAATAGTGTTTCTTTAGTATTGGGCATAAGGTCACTGTGGTTAGTCTTCGCATGGGTTCTAGTGGGGAGGGGGGATAAAGTTGTATCGAGGGGGTTTTAAGGTCAWGMSACGTTCAGTCCATGGGTCCTTCACACCATTTTCTGTAAAATAATGAAAACATAAATGGATCAGTTTTACTGTAATAATGAGATACATTCAACATACTTGTCAAAAAAATCAGAAAAAAATTAAATATTAAAATTTTCAAATTAAATTGATTTGTTTATTTTCCAGATTTCAACATTTTACAACTGTAGCCACATACAGACACACAGACCATAGACTGATCTGGCATCAGCTGCACTTTATGTAAATACTGTAACAGTTTATCAAATTTTTAAGGTGTTTTATATTTTTAATGTTGTCCTCTATGCTTTGAGGTGTTTTTAATTTCTGTCTGCATTTCTTGAGTGCATTCTGAATCTCAACAAAAAATTAATTATTAATGATTCTTAACAAACTCACTCATGTTGCATAGACCCTCATGATGAATTCAAATAATATAAAAAAGACAATAATAGATTAGATTCTTACCTATGGCATTATGTAGTTTATGACCAAAGCACTGGAGGTTTGGCCACCCAACGTCTTTCAGAGCTTTCATGATGTTTATGCCGCTATCTGTTGTCATACAGACAAGTCAGTCTTCAGGAAGGTTCCAGGAGCTCAGAGCTTCTTTAATCCCTCTGCGATTACTTCACTTTTGTGATCATCAGGAAAGTAAGCCGTTTGCAGACAGATACTTTGTAGAGCACAGCTTTTGTCAACAAAATGCGCTGTTAAACTCAGATACGGCTCCATTGTTCGACTGGACCATAAGTCCGTTGTTGCAGAAAAAAACGCACATCTTCCAGCACCATGTTGTTGTAAAGGTGTGGCAGGGAAACTTCAGCAAAATATTTGCGGCTAGGTAGCACATACGTGGCATCCAAAGTTTTCAGCAACTGAATAAAGCCGGGTTTTTTCACTGTATAAATAGGTACCACATCTTTTGCGATGTAAAACGTGACGACATCTGTGATGGCTTTCCACCGGGCACTCGTCTTTTTGTAGGGAACGCAGTTTGAAAATGATTCCCCTAAGGTAGTTTGTCTTTTGGCGGTGCTGCTTTTTGGGCTGCTGCTAGCCTGACTTTGTCGTGAAGAGCAGCATTTCTCCCACTCCACAGAGTGCCTCTGTTTCAGGTGTTGAAACAAGTTTGTTGTACTCCCGTTTTTGTTAGCAACAGCCTTCAAACATATTTGGCAGCGAGCTGTTTGTTGCTCCGAGTCCGCGATTTCGAAACCGAACCAGTTCCAGATAACTGAAGACACGGTGCCTTTTTTGGTAACTAGTTCCTCTTTGCTAACTTCCATTTTGTCTGTGTCTTGAGGGACAGGAAGGGCGGGGTGAAACCTACAGACCTCCGAACTACGGAAGCCCCAAAAAGTGCACTCGAGAGGAGAAAAAAAATCTCGATTTCCCCAAAAATAAATCGTTATACACAGAAAACTCGAATTAATCGATAAAATCGATTCATCGCCCAGCCCTAGGCTAGATTACTATCTTTTAAGCACAATAATGATTTGGAAACACATATTATATTGTACTATATTACTGCATTATACACATCCACAATTATCCAAGGGAGCCTTCTCTCTATGCTATAAGTCAGAACAAGAGTGTGATGAAGAAAATGAGTAGATTTGTAGACATTTTGAGTAAAACCAATGGACTCTTAAATTATTAAAATCTATGTTTAAGTTATAACTTTCAACATCTAAATTAATATAAAAATCTCCCTTTATTATAACTTTATCAGTATTCAATAAAAAATCAGACAAAAATTCTGAGAATTCAAATAAAAACTGAGAATAAGGGCCTGGTGGATGATAAATAACAAGTAAAGGTTTTTCTCCTTTCCATTTTGGATAAGAAAGACAGAGGGACAAAGACTCAAAAGAATTATAACTAATATATTTTTTTTAGTATTAATTAATAACTCTGACTGATAAACTGCAGAAACTTCTCCACCTCGACCTGTTGTTCTAGGAACATGAAAATTTAAATAATTAGCAATGGATTCATTTATACTAACAAAATCCTCCTGTTGTAACAAAGACAGAATAAATTAATATGATGATCAGTTATCAGATCATTAACTAACAGAGACTTAGAAGAAAGAGATTACATTTTTTCTATTGTTTATTTTTAGAACATTTTGAAAAGAACAGTTTTGTCTCTTTCCATGTATGTTTAAACATACATGGAAAGGTGAGGAGTGCGTCTGGCTTTAAAATTGGATTGGCTGAGCTGAACAGTACTGATTGTGACAAAACAATCAGAAACTTAAATATAATTTTTTTAAGTTGTGAAAGCATCAGAAGTTGGTAGTTTTCATCCAGGCAATGTCGTATTATTAGTGTCTCTTATGTTTTTGATTCATTGCTTACTGGAATAATCTTTTCTCAGTGAAGATTACTTTTCTTTTTTTACTTTTCTTGGGCGGCTGTGGTGTAGTGGTAGGGCAACCGGCTTTGGGACCTGCAAGTCACAGGTTCAACTCCCCGCCATGCCCACATGCCATTGTGTCCTTGAGCAAGACACTTCACCTGCCTTGCCTACTGATGGTGGTCAGAGGGTCCGGTGGTGCCTGTGTATGGCAGCCTCGCTTCTGTCAGTGAGCCCCAGGGCAGCTGTGGCTACAATGCAGTTTGCCTTCATCAGTGTGTGAATGTGAGTGTGAATGGGTGAATGTCTGTAAGTGTAAAGAGCTTTGAGRGTTCGCGCTATATAAGTACCATTTACCATTTTCTGTTGTCTATTGATGTTGTGTACTAAAATAATAAAACTAAGCTGAAATAAATTATGTCTGCAGGAAGAACACCCGAACCCTGGTCAGGCATTTGAAGGTGTGTCCCGAACAGCTTACCTCCCAGATTCCCCAGAAGGCAGGAAGATCTTACAACTGCTCAAGCAAGCCTTTGATCAGAGACTTACATTTACTATTGGTCAGTCCACCACCAGTGGCAGGAGCAACGTGGTCACATGGAACGATATTCACCACAAGACATCAACACATGGTGGACCAACTCTGTAAGTATTATTGTATGACAACTCTACATAATATTATTCATATATATTAAATATTCATATTAAATGAGTACTTAATGTGCCTCCATCTGTAGCACATCTAAAATTAATAATTAATATTTTGTCTATGACTAAATGCATTAAGATGTACTTTAGAATCAGAATCAGCTTTATTGCCATTGTCAGTGATAAACACTGACTAGGAACTTGCAGTTTAGAACATCCGTTCGGAGAGAGACACACATAACAAACATGGGGGGAACAAATGTCCGCGGTCTTTCGCACTACAGTGCGCTTACCTTTTGCAGCTTAGAATACACACACACTAGGAAAGGTGAGTTAAAAAAAGAGCTCTGATCCTATGTTTTACACAGAAACACGCACTCAAAAAACCTACTCTGCATAGTGCAAGGCAGCTAAGGAGGGGAGGGGGTGGGGGTCAAAAACACATGGTATGGGGTGGGGTTCAGCGGAGCCTGTGACATTCCAGGTTAGTACTCTGTGCTGGAACCAGTCAAAGACCTCCAGAGTCCAAACAAGTTGTTATCAGCCAAAGCACAATCACCAGAGTCAGTTCTCTGTCTCCACCCAACTTCAGACTGATCCACCCACGGGTGAAATGGGTAGGGATAGTGGGGGAGTCAAGCAACGTGGAATGCAATAGTCTCCAAACCATAAAACAGGGTAGATGCAGCGGGGCCTTCAGCTGCAGAGCAAGGTCTATATATATATA